TCAAAATTAATTAATTTAGAAACTTCATAATTTAAACAAATACCTTTAACCTTACAACAAATTTTCTCGTCGCCATTAGGTAAAGTATGCTTATATGCATAATTTTTAGGTCCTCCAGAAACGAACTCTGAAATATATCCACCACCGAGTTCATCAGTTAAATCGCCTATACAATCGCCAGTAGGTAGGTCGGGTAACTTAACCTTGGAGACGTAAATAATTGAGTCGGTATCATAGTACAAGGTACGTTCGCCCACTATCTCTAAATATGAATATAATTTAAGACGAGCCATGGCAGTAACATAAGAAGCCAGAACCACGTTAACTGAGGGTGACATGGAAGCCGCTTCTTCTACATACTCCCATGTGACAATCAAGGTCTCCTCATTTACAGGAACAAGAGTATTTACAAAAATTGAAGGATTTACCATCATAGCAAAGAACTCTCCAGGCTTTTTTACAATAGATGTTTTGGGGAGATTCTCACGCTGCGCAAACTTACCCCAAAAGGAATTCAACATCAACTTAGCCAACGACCTCAGACCGGGATTCTCCGTTATTTCGGAAAACTCCAACCTGACATTCTCCCTTTGGAGAAACTCCTCGATGTATCGGTCTTTTTCCTCATCCGATACACAACCTCGTGGCCACCCTGAAGCTTGTTGCTTAATCTTTATAAATTTGTTCATCATGTCAGAGAACAGACCCTTTTGAGATGTCGATAACTGAATTGTATCATAATTCCATACCTCATACGTTTCCAACAGTTTATAACCTTTAGATAAGGCTTGTACCACCTCTTCTGCAACCCACGTGCCTGTTAGAGCCCTCTCTTTATCGGAATGTTGGCATTCCTTCTGAACAAAGTCCTCACCACATTTACGGCAAAGAACAAACATACATTTACTGTTCATCTTAGCAGGAAGAACAGGGTGATAGAAATGGGTAGGAGGCAATATCCTACACTTAATTATACCCGATACCTTAGATAAATCTATATCCTGACACTCCTCACCAACGTACACTTTAGGATGACCTACAGGAAACCTGCCATACTTGCACACCCACGGATACAACGAGCAAACATCAACGTATTTAATTTGCTCGTCCTCTTTACACTTGTAATACTCTACGGTATTACCTGTACGACCACCATACAGAGCGTCTCGTGGATTGAGAGGTAGAGTTGTCATTAGGGGGTGACCGTCAGTATATGATGTTATCTCTGGTGTCATCATTTTACGGAAGACACATTCCCACATTTCAGCCAATTCATACCCTAGAGAACGTAAATGTTGGTTTTTAGCAAGTGTTTTTTCATAACGATTCTCCATACAATCGGAAGGATCATCATGAAGAGGAGCAGTTCTATTTTCAGGGTAGCAAGTAGGACAACCGTGATAATAACAGCCTTGGAATTCAAAAACTATGTTTTCGTAAAGACTGTCTACCTTACAATTACCAATAAGAGCTTCAGGACCCCTAGCAGCATGTTGGATTGTAATACAGCGCTGTTTTTCTTCCCACAATAACCACTGTAAAGCGATTTTAGATTGATTATCTTTGAGCCGATAACCAATCTTTGGAATAAGACCTATGGTGTCAGGCTGTAAAAAGTTACGCCTAAACACTTTATTGCATGTGGAGGCTACAGTTGTTGCCTCGAGAAAAGGACATACATTTGACGTGTCTAGCAACTGTTGGCGAAAAATGAGACAAGCCTGTGCTAATATTTCAACATCAGATATACAGTACTCTTTAATTTCCTTTTTAAAATCAAAGATATATCCTTCATTAACTCTTTCAGCATGCCACACTTTCAACCTGTCACGTGCATCCTCCTTCAAAGTATCTGGATCGTAACATTTGAGAGGTGGTATAGGCCCAATATAGTTCTGGTTTTCCTCTCTGTTGAAGAGATGTGAAAAATACCCTTTCTTCAACTCCGTCAATCCAAAAGACTTGGGCAGAGCAGACAACGGCATAGGGAAATAATTAAGACTGTCGAGAAATCTTACATTCCCAACAGTCATGGACATCAGCTTCGTACCACGCATAATGAGATCTGGGGTTAAGTCAGTCTTTGTAAGGATATGATTAAGGATGAACTGATGATCGAAACCACCTCCATTGTGAGCGAGAACAACAACATTTTAAAATAGTTTTCTAATTGACAAAATATGGTGAAGAAAAGGAGGGATGACGTTAGCTGATTTTAGAATTTGTAAACGAACACCACACTTTTTACAAATAGCGGTACTGAAATCTAAACACTCATCACACACTTGTTTAAAAACACAGAGATTCGGTTCTTGAAGAAGCGAACCGTCGGACATTACTGTTTCCTGGCGAGTTTCCAGGTCATAAAATATAAAGAGAAAATCTTTTGATGGAGGAGCACCGGAATCGGGTTGCATATAGCAGAGATGATCGTTGGGGCAATTCTTTTTACAAGTTTTACAAAAGACCTCGCCACAGACATGATTTTTGGTGTAGATCTTGTAACACTCTTTGCACCTCTTAATTTTACCGCATACCGAGCCAATATGAGCATTGAAACAGACATCACCGTAAAAAATTCGACCACATTTCTCACAAGGAACCTTGACAACGTCTTTAGAACAAGAAGGAGTTTGACGACAAGCAAAACACGTGCCGCCACACCTATGTTCATTTTTATTGTTGTAAGGTTGATAACATGCCACACAGAAATATCTTGAACAAAAGGCACTTGTTAGCGAGAGTACTACGTTGAAATGACCTTCATGGAACAAAAGATTAAGCCTAGACCCTTCACCAACACCTTCGAAAATGACATTACGTCCCTTACTACCGTACTTATACACCACGATCTTATACCCTGTAAGACACAGTTGGAATTGTTGTAATTCTGAAATACCTGCTCCCTCTTCAGGAATAACAACACCCGCATTTTGCATTAATTGCAGTGCTTTCTCACGTTGTATTTTACCAGTGTCCTTACGTATTTTAGTGAGTTCCAGATTTTTGTCGACGTAAGCTTTGGCAACAACCAAAGCGCGAGGAAGGCAGAGATTATCGGTGTTTTTGATAACAACGATTCCCCGGCGTTTGGAACTCGTTAAACGAGTTGTACATATAACCACGACCTTTTCCAGCAGGCATCTTTACAGTTGTAATACCGAGACAGAACGTTTCGGTATTAAGGCCGGTGCTATTACTCTGATATATGGAACTTATCTTATTCCATACATCATCGAAAGTCACCTCGGAGGCAGGCTTGAACCTCATCCAACCCTGTCCTCGAGCAAAATCATTGGAGCAAAAAGTGAAGCCGACCTGATCATGTGGCAAAATATTTACAGTACCCTTTCGAACAATATCCTCGATGGCCTTTTTAACCCAACTTACAGGTTCCTCACCTGGCGGTACATCCCTAATTTTAAATTCCAGAGTTCGTCCCTGGACACCAAATTTACGGATTTTCTTGGTCAGATCTTTGACAATTAAAAACCTTTTCATGGTACGTATAACAAACTTGAAAATTCTTGTAAAATAAAAAAATTCAAAAAAGCAAAGTTTTCAAAAAAATGTATTATACCCACCAAAGTACGTTTGAACACTAGAAATATCTGGAACAGACTGAAGAAAATACTTTGGTTCAGTGTTGCCGTGAGGCGTGGAGGGTGGCTGATTGGCTCATCTCCTGCTCTACGGGCTTCTTACGGTCCGTGGAATTGGACCTAGATGTTCCACGAGTGTCCACCATTCTCCTGGATACAATCGGTTTGCTTATTAACGATATTGCTCAGGTTATGTGGAGTCGTGTGTGTTTTTATGGTAAAAACTATCACAAATCCAACGATCTGCGGCTCGTAGTGTGTGGATACAAATGTATAATGTCACAGTAAGCCGCAGCTACATTTGTACAAATAATATTTATATACGTATTATGAAATAAGACAAATAAATGCAGTTCGAAAATGACGGTGCATGGAAACGTCTCTCGTGCTTAATCTACGTAGTAGAAGTACCACAATGTACGTTTATCTACACAACAAACACAGAAATAATAATAACAAGAGTGTGTACACACAAAGAATTACGATAAGTAACAATAAAATGACAAGTTTTGAGAGGATCCTTGACTTACGGAAGGAACTCTCGAGAAAACACTTGTGTTTCTTTAACTTACGGAAAGAAGACACAAGTAAGATATAAAACAAATGGGTATTTCCACGTATGGTCTCCTAGGAGAGATGTCGTAGAGAATACTACAAGAAATGTGCAATAAAAAGTGATATATGCGAATATACGAAGCGTATAATCTGCGGAGAGAAGTCTCGCAACGGATATATTCAAAATACAACAATAAAATGGTAAAAGTTATTGGGAATATACTCGAGCGTATGATCTCTTCGAGAAATATTGCAACAAGATATATTCAGCAAAATCACAAGAACAACAAATAATATATATATATATATATATATAATATATATATATATATATATATATATATATCAAAATAAATGGGCACTTTCTCTGTGCGTGATCGGTTAGGAAATGCCACAGTAGAAAGTACAGAAAATAGCACAAAAATGGTACAGAACGACTGTTTTGAAAAAGACAGACAATTTCTTACATGACAAAAAGTCCGTTTTAAGAAAAATATAATATATATAAATGCACATAAAAATAGCAATAAATCAATATCAAATAAGGTAAATAAATAGGCAGATTCTAGGTGGATGACTAGCACCGTACCTAGAGTCTTATAATACGAGGGTGAGCTCGAACTGGCCGACTACAGGAAATCCACCTTCTTTTATACAAAAAATTCTTTTGTTCTCGGGGATTATGACGTATGAAAGTGGACTTTCCGTAAAATAGACCAATGAAAAAATTGAATTGCTCAAAAGTTGGAATAACCCCTATTCCAACCAATGAGCAATTTTTTTCATGTTTTGGACATGTTTCTCGTATGCTGATTGGTCGGCAAATGAGAGCGCACGAGAACATCAGTGTCGCTGTGGCTGATCCACGGGAGGTTGCGGATCACCATCAGTCGCTCTATCCGCGGAGGCGGATGATCTAAGGACTCGCTGTGATTCCATTTGAAGTCTGCAA